CCAGCTCCGCAGAGCTTGCTGGCACCGGGCACCAGGCTCGGCACCAGCCCCAGTCAGCTTGATTCATGGGCTGAGATGACGGCGGCGACGAGACACCTTTAGGGGCATGAGGACAGCGGCAACAGGCCACCACCTTCCTGTCTTCCTTTGCTTCACAGGGGGCATCTGCGGCGTCACTCGGCATGAGAACATCCCGGAGGCAAAGGGTCAAAAAGGCCGTGACCACGTCCCTCCACCCTGACCGAGCCGAGAGGGGCGGCTGCATGCGTGGCCACGTTTTCACGTTCCACCTGGAACACACACTCTGTTTTTTGGTCGAGCTCCAGGATCTGGGAATTCTTTTATTTTTAAGCTTCGCCTCCAACGGGTTTGGCAGCAACTCAGATGACAGGCGGGCCAGCTCAGGGGGGCGTGAGGCGCAGGGCGGTGGCAGCCGGGACTGACGAGCGAGGACGGCCAGTGCCAGGAGATGGCAAGCCGGCGAGTTGAAGGCCACGCGGGACACCAGCGGGCATCACCACTGGGTTTCTGGGGGGCAGGCCTGGCGCTCGGGGGCCTGGACGGGCTCGGGGAAGCTGTGCGGTGCCAAGGCTGGAGACGGCAAGGCGGGCCCCTCACCCACACCGTGTCTCAGCACCATGGGCGGATTCAGGGACGGGTCTCTGCCTGAGTTCGATTCCCTGCCATCAGCAGGAGGAGAACGGAGCACAGCACCCCACCCCCAGGCACTCCTGGGACAGCACACCGACACGGCCGCTCCCTGGATTCAAGACCCCACCCCACCCCTCTGCCCAGCGCTGCCCTGGCCGGAACCCCAGGGTCCTGGCGCCGGACGATTCTCTGACCATCCCTTGGCCTCATCAGCCTGTGGCATGTGCGCGCAGGCAGCTCCCCCGACGGGGCGCCCCTGCTGAGGGGAGACACAGAGCGCAGGTGGACCCGCGGGCCTCAGTGGGGGTGCAGGGTCCCTTCTCTGCCCTGAAGTCCAAGAGGACGGACAGCTGGAGAAAGACTTGGTGGCCATCATCCTGAAGGGCTCCCACACAGACAAAGCAGTGTTGGCACGAAACACAGACTTAAACTTTGCTGCCTTCATTTTAAAGTGCTCCCTACAAATAACACCCTTCCCTCCTCAGTGCAAGGGCTTTTCTTGCGCGCGTCCTCCCCTAAGTCTGCTTGTGGAATGCACCCGCTCCAGGGTCTCAGAGATGGGAGGGCAGAGTTAGATGAGCAAAGAGTGACATGGGGAGGGCACGAGAGGGGTTCTCATCGGGGACAGCTAGGAGCACGGCTGTCAGCTGAAGGCAACTCGGAGATGAGACAGTTCCACCTGATCTTGATTTCAGGGAAACGGACAGTGCTCCCTGAGCACAGGGCCAGGAGCAAGCCCTGAGTACTGCCAGGTTTGGCCCCCAAACCAAAACCAAACACACAAATCAAGACACTGAGCTCAGGTAGGTAGGAGAACACTCGCTTTGAGGTGCTTGGGGTCACGGCCGTTGGGGGTTAAACTGCACCATCGAATGCCCCTGAAAGGCTGAAACCAACCCTGGCGAGGGTTTGGGCATTTCTGGAGGGGCTGGAGGAGGGTGGTGAATGTGGTATGGGGAATGGCATGGAGGCCGGTCAGACCCCGAGAACAGAGCCAGAAGTGACCCCAAGCACAGGGCCAGGAGTGACCCCAAGCACTGAGCTAGGAGTGACCCTGAGCACAGAGCCGGGAGTGACCCTAAGCACAGGGCCAGGAGTGACCCCAAGCACTGAGCTAGGAGTTACCCTGAGCACAGAGCCGGGAGTGACCCCGAGCCCACAGGTGGGAGTCAGCCCTGAGCAGAGCCAGGAGTGACCCCGAGCACAGAGCCAGGAGTGAGCCCTGAGCATAGAGCTGGGAGTGACCCCAAGCACTGAGCCAGGAGTAACCCCGAGCACTGAGCCAGGAGTGACCCCGAGCACTGAGCCAGGAGTGGGCCTGTGCAGCAGGGCAGCCCCCAGGAGCCCAGAGGGGATGCGACACACCTGCGCATGTGCACATCTGCACAGTCTCTTCGCATCTGTCTCCGAGCCTGAGAACTTTCCTCTCCAAGTTCCGGTCTGGGGACAGAGCGAGCTTTGAGGGCCCTCGGGGATGGGCTGATGGACAGCTGGAGGGCAGGCCCTGCCCTTCACGCCAGGGCGGACACTGGGGCACTGAGTGACAGCAGCGGGTAGAAAGCGGGCAGAGTAAGAAGAGGGATGGGGTGGTACCAAGCATTCAGTTCCCCCTCACCACGCCTAGGAGTGTGCGGCACTTCGAGCAGGGCTCGGGCATGATGGAAAGGCGTTTCAGGGTCTCCCCGTCAGCCTGGCTGGCCATCCCACCCGCATGGGGGCCTAAACGCGCTGATCAGGAACAGGCCCCATGCGGGGTCTGCAGGAGACCCGCACAAACACGGGGGCGTGGCCGGCGGGGGCGGGGGCGGGGGTGGGGGTGCGCAGGCGCCCTCACTCTGACCCCGAGTCAGCATGCACTCGAGGCCTCAAGAAACCTTCAGCAAACGCAGAAGCCGTCGGGTTGGCATCGTGCCAGACTCGCCCCTGGCACTGCTCAGGGCTGCCGAGGTCAGGAGGAGCCGATGTGGGTCGCTCCAGGGCGGCCACGGGCAGGAGCAGTGTCCCTGGGCTCAGCCGTCCTGACGTCGCTCCAGCCAGGGAACTGTCACCAACACTGTCCGTGACAGGGAGACATGGAGGAGCCACTGAGACACCGGCCATGAGCGCAAGAAACGGCTCCTTCTCAAGGGGCGACGGGGAGGGCTTTAGAGGCAGATGCTGAACTTAGAGTCGACACAGGATGCACGAAAGGGACCTGAAGAAAACCTGGCAAAGACTCCCAGGCACCTCCCCCAGTGCGGACCCCCAGAGACCCCGAGACTCCCGGGCACCAACCTCCCCAGCGCAGACCCTCAGAGACCCAAGACTCCAAGCACCAATATCCCCCAGCGCAGACCCCCAGAGACCCCCGAGACTCCAGGGCACCAACCTCCCCAGCGCAGACCCCCAGAGACCTCCAAGACTCCAGGGAACCAACCTCCCCAGAGCAGACTCTCAGAGACCCTCGAGACTCTGGCCACCAACCTCCCCAGTGCAGACCCCCAGAGACCCTGGAGACTCTGAGCACCAACCTCCCCCAGCGTGGACTCCCAGAAACCCCCGAGACTCCAGGCACCAACCTCCCCAGTGCAAACCCCCAGAGACCCCCGAGACTCCCGGGCACCAACCTCCCCCAGTGCAGACCCCCAGAGACCCCCGAGACTCCAGGGAACCAACCTCCCCCAGTGCAAACCTCCAGAGACCCACGAGACTCCTGGGCATCAACCTCTCCCAGCGCAGACCCTCAGAGACCCTCGAGACTCCGGGCACCAACCTCCCCAGCGCGGACTCCCAGAGACCCCCAAGACTCCCAGGCACCAACCTCCCCCAGTGTGGGCCCCCAGAGACCCCTGAGACTCTGGGCACCAACCTCCCCAGTGCAGACCCTCAGACTCTCCCGGGCACCAACCTCCCCAGCGTGGACCCCCACCTGCCTGCATACCAGGTCCCCCTCCCTGGACTCCCCGGGCTGCGAGGCAAGGGCCGCTTTGCCACCTTCACCCACACTCGATGGCCGGGGACAGGCTGGCCTGGGCAGCTGGTTCCCACGGGAACAAGTGCAGACTTTGAAGCACTGACGGTAAGAGGGGCTGAGGCAAATCAACCAGCCTCTCATCAAGAGGCAGCAGGAGACTCGGAGCCATATTTTCCAGGGTAACAAGGAAATACAAATACGAGTGTAAATTAACGAAATATAAACAACACTAATTTGATTCATTAAACTCAAAGCTGGCGCTTATAAAGGTCAATAAAATAGACAAGTTTGTTTATTTTCCTAGGGGAAAAAGTTCTCTTTCCCATCCTGCTTTCCCTCTCCCTCTCCCCATACACACACACACACACACACACACACACACACACATACACACATACCAGCTAGAGAGTGATAACAGATACAAAGGGAAAGTTTAAATGAGAGGGCACTACACATTGCTAACATGTGAAATATCAGTGAAAACACTTAATTTTCTTTTTCTTTTCTTTTTTTTTCTTTTCTTTTTTTTTGGGGGGTCACACCCGACGATGCACAGGGGTTACCCCTGGCTCTGTATTCAGGTATTCAGGAATTACTCCTGGCAGTGCTCAGGGGACCATATGGGATTCTGGGAATCGAACCCGGGTCAGCCGCATGCAAGGCAAACGCCCTACCAGCTGTGCTATTGCTCCAGCCCCCACACTTGATTTTCTAAGGGAAGACTCACTTTCCCAAATAGATTCAGAGGAGGTGAGATTTAGAAATAAACCACTAATCATCGAAGAGAAACGATGGGTCCATTCCCCCACCCCCGACCCACCAAATAAAGAATACTTTGTGACTTAAGTAACAACCACGCCATACTTTTCTCCACACTCAAGAAAAAAGTGAAAACGATGAGAAAACATAACAGTCCCAATGAACGTGCTGTAAGAAAATGGCAATTTTATAAGGCAGAGCTGAATCCGGATGAAGACCTTCTCCCCCAGAGACAGGCTGTGGGGAAAGGGGGCAGCCCCCGCCCAGCACCCCGACCCCTGCGTCTGCCCCCCTCAAGACTGACCACAGGAGGCTGGAGCGATAGCACAGCGGGGAGGGCGTTTGCCTTGCACCTGGCCAACCCGGGTTCTATCCCCAGGATCCCATATGGTCCCCTGAGCACCACCAGGAGTAATTCCTGAGTGCAGAGCCAGGAGGAACCCCTGTGTGTTGCTGGGTGTGACCCAAAAAGCAAAAACAAAAAAAAAGGACAGACTGGCCACAGATGAGCAAACGCAGACAGGTTCAGACGCAGATTGTGGTAGACCCAGAGGAACTCCAAGAGCCAGACTCGCCTCTGCTGTTCTTCCCACCCGCAGATGGTCTGACAGACGGACAGGGATGAGGGGTCACCCACCTGTGGGCCTGGGCCTCGCTGACGGCCCGGGCCTGTTCCAGGTCCCGGCTCAGTGCCCACAGTTGCTCCTGCAGGCAGTGCTCGCGCTCACCGCTGCCCCGGCACAGGGCCAGCTCCCCCTGCAGGGCCCGCAGCTGCTCCTCCAGGGCCTTGAACTCGTTCAGAATCAGGTAGCTCACCCCGCAGTACTTGCACACCTTCTCCTCGGGGGGCATCTGCAAGACAGAACAGACTGCGGGCACAGGAATATGGGGGATAGGGCGGGCTCCCAGTGGGCCCCGAGGGACAGCCAGGCCCGAGCGACGGCTGAGCCCCGAGCTGTCCTGGAGACGGTCAGCACTGCAGGACACGGGCTGGGCCCTGAGTTGTCCTGGAGGGGTCAGCGCTGCAGGACACGGGATGGGCCCTGAGCTGTCCTGGAGGGTACAGCCATGCAGGACACCAAGTAACAACCAAGCCATGCTTTTCTCCACACTCAAGAAAAAAGCGAAAATACTGAGAAAACGTAACAGTCCCAATGAAAGTGCTATAAGAAACCACTAATAATGGAGAGGACAGCCCTGCAGGACACAGGCTGGGCCCTGAGCCGCCCCACAGTGATCCTAGAGGCAGGGATGGATCCGCTGACTTTGGGCTGGAATGGGGGCTCTGTGCCCATCCCCAAGCTTCCTCCTGGCCCCATCTGGGGTCTCCTGCGCTGGCCACCTTGGGCAGCTTCACGGGATAGAGACGGCAAGCAGGGCTGCTCGGTCCGCTCCTCGAGCCTGAAGGAAGCAGGGAGACGTCTGTGCCTGACCGGCAGCATGGCTGAGTCTGACCGTCCCTTCGCCCTCACGGCTTCCCAGAGGGACTCTGTTGGGAGGATGGTCGCCCCTGGGCAGGCCAGTGTCTGCTGCCCGAGGCTCCCGACTGGTCTCCACTGCCCTCCATGGAGGGTGGCGGCAGCTCAGGATAAGTCCCGACACTGGTTTTTCCTGTGTGCAGGCGACCAAGCGGCAGTGAGGCAGTGGGGTTCGACCTTAGGCATGGCCCAGGCCCAAGAGCAGCTGCTCCGCCGGCCAAGCTGGATCCCAGGCACCTGTCCGCATCCACCCGAGCGCTGGTGCCAGGATGCCTGGGGCCACGGCCTCCTGTGGACGCCGTCAGACGCTGCTACCACAGCGAGGCCAAGAAATGAAAAACACATTCGCGTTATCTAACCAAAGGAAATGAAGGATTAAAACTGGATTTTAAAGCAACGGGACAAGAGCATCTCTGGGCACTGAGCAGGCAGGAGGCAGCGCCATTCCCAGCGCCGAGAGCAGGCCCGGGAGAGCACCAGGGACTTGCTCAGCAACAGGGCTGGGGGCTGCCCTCGGCCACAGACACACCTGCTGTGGTGGGAAAGACAGCAGGCAAATGTGGGTCGGAGGAATCGAGCAGACAGGCAGGGGGCGCGGGGAGGGGGCAGCAGGTGAGCTGTCGGGGGGAGGGGGGCTCGAGCCCAGCCCTGCACACAGAGGTCCCTCCAGTCCTGCTCCTCAGGAAACTGGTTCTTCTTCTGGTTTTGTGCCCAGGGACCCTGGCCATGGCCTCGAAGACCAGGTCGCGGGCAAAGGCGCAGGGAGGCGGAGTGCCGGGAGCAGTGGCAGCGGCCACGGGAAGGTGGGGGAGGACCCGTGGCGACCTCAAGGCCCCGGGTGGGGAGGAGGGCACAGACACGCGACACGTCTGTGTGGATGGAGGGAGGGAAAAGGAGGGGAGGAGGAGGAGAGGGGAGGAGAGGAGAGGAAAGAGGAGGGGAACGGAGGAGAGGGAAAAGGAGGAGGGGGAAGGGGAGGGGAGGACTGAGGGGGGCGGGGAAGAGGGTCAGGCCTGACCCCGCAGGATGCAAGACCCTCAGGATCATCGCTGGGCCTGTCCCAGAGGCGGGGGGGGGGGGGGCGACAGTGGCCCTGTGGCCCTGTAGTCACAGGCTGAGGGAAGGGCCGAGCGCCCACCAGTGTGGTAGACACAGACATCCTCTCTGTGGGGCTGGGCCCGGAAGGGAAGATGTTCCAGGTGGGGCTGGTCACTGAGGCCGAGAGCCCAGCATGGCAGGGGGTGGGCAGGCCGGGGCCCAGTTGTTCCCTGCCTCTGGCCACAACTTGGACCCGACGCACGAGCCCCACATCAGCTGGTAGGTGCTCCTCTGGGCCTCACAGCCCTGACCCGGAACACACACATGCATATACACATTCACAAACACACGCTCACACATACGCAGACATACACAAACATGTGCACACACATGCACATGCACACACATGCAGACACACACACGCACGTGCACACACACTCACATCCCCGCTCACACACGCACATTCACACACATACACATACACACTCACTCACACATGCACTCACGCATGCACACACTCACATACATACACACACTCATACATGCAGACACACACATACACACACACCACGCACACACACGCACTCACACATGCACACACATGCACACACACTCACACAAGCACACACACGCACACACACATGCACACACACGCACTCACACTCATGCACACACACATGAGCTGACACTGCTTCACACGCAGTGGCCCTACACATGCATGCACAAATGCACACACATGCACACACACACAGGCTGACGGTGCTTCATATGCAGTGGCTCTGCATATGCACACACGTGCGCACGCACGTGCACACACAGACACACAGACACACACACATACACGAGCTGATGGCGCTTCACACATGGCGGCCCCAACCTGGGACGCACGCCTCGTTCCCCAGAGCCGATGGCCAGAGCACAGCAAGGAGGACGTGACTGTGGCCGTGGCCACGCTGAAGCACATCCCTGAGCCCCCGAGAGGGACACAGACACAGGGGCCACTCAGGAAACCTGCCAGGGGGCCAGAGAGCCAGAAGGCCACAAGTGCTGGGGTGGGCGGGTGTGAGCGAGGGGAAGCCTTGAGGTGGGGAGGGACGAGGACTCCACAGGGAGGATCGGGGGACGAGGGCTTGCCTGACAGTGCCCATCGCAGCGTCGTCGGCTAGCTGTGGGGTCCAGGGGAGTGGGCGGGGCGCGATGTCTTAGAGGGTCCCTTGCAGGAGCCAGGGGGCGCAACCCCCCTGATGCTGGAGGTGGCTGGGCAAGGCCACAGGGCAGCCGCCACGGGCTTCGGCAGGCAGGGGCTGGGGACAGGGGCCGGGGCGGCTCTCCGGGCCGGGCCAGCCGCGTCCTGGGGGCTTTTCCTGCCACACACCTGGGGACTGTGCTCGGACGGGCGTCCCACACACCCGTTTCTCTGCTCCTTAGGGCTGCTGGGCTGCAGACTGTGTGCGGGCGGCCCAGGCTCCTCCAGGGACGGCCGGGTGTGGCCCCCGGTAAGAGGCCCCTGAATAGCCACTCCCAGCCTCCCTCCATCCTCCCGGGGCTAGCAGCGACATTTCAGGCCATTTTCTCTCAGAAGAGTGTGTGTGTGTGTGTGTGTGTGTGTGTGTGTGTGTGTTTCCCCTCATCTCTCCTCCACTTTAACTCAACCCAAACCTGACCCTGGACACAGTGGCCCAGAATGACCTGGAAAAGTCTGTTTCTCCTCCCTGGCAATGACGCTTCGTGCTTGGAAACATGACACGGTTGTTCTGGAAGTGCTTCCAAGTCCCAGAGCCACGACTCCTCTCCGGAGCGGGACAGGCTGAGCTGGGGCTCGGCACGGGATTGTCCTGCGGGAACAGGGCGCTCCTGCTCCGGCCAAGTGCGGCTGGCAGCTGTCACTGGGCGCTTGGTGACACAAAGCCCACCAGTTTCACTTTCACAAAGTAGTTGTTCTCTCCGCAGCCTGCCCCCCCACCCCCCTACCCCGCCCTGGGCTGGGTTTCTGCGTGTGGAGCGGCGCCCTCCCCTCTCCTGAGCCCCGGCTGCCAGGGGCGCAGGACGGACAGAACTGGGTCTGGCGGATCGGAACCCTTGGTTGCGGTTTGGCCAGTGGCAGTTCCTCGGTGGCGGGAGGTTGGGGGGGGGGGGGCAGGGGCGGCGCTGGCTGGCCCGAGGACGTGGGGGGAGGGCGGCCTTGGCGCCCCAGGGGATGGAAAGCAGATGTTTGGGGGTGTGTCGGGAGACCACCTTACTCTCCGTTCCTGAGGACACAGCAGGGACAGTGCCCAGGAGGGACAGGCGGTCACTCCCACTGCACCCCACCCCCTTCCCGGCCTCCCACGAAGCCGCCTTCATGAGCCTGGGAGCCGAACCAGACCAGGACCCTGGGGGGCGGGGGGGAGGGGCAGGGTTCCCCCTCCCCCCCCCACTGCCCCCACTGCCTGAGGCTCCTGCAGGGGGCAGACCTGGACATTTAGGAAATGGGTCTTGGCGTTTTTTAAAACAATTTTCCTTCCGAAGGCTGCGTGTGAGCACAAACATTCTGCAACTCCCATAAAGCCTCGTCAAAATAAACAGCTTTTGATGTGCTCCTGGTTCCTGCAGGGACACGGCCTCCCGGTCACTCCCCGCCCCCACCCTGCCCCCCCCCCAGGAGAAGCTGCCTCTTGCCCGCGTCCCTGCCCGCCCGCATGGAGGCCCACACAGGGGTCCTGGAGGTGTCCGTTCCCCTCATCCCACCCCAGGAGCGCTGTCTTGGCCCTGCACTTGGCCCCAAGCACACAATGGGCTGCCCTGGACACACGGTCGAAGGCCCACAGTGGACAGGGGTGCGGGGGGGGCTTTTGAGTGAGCAGAGGCGTGGCTGCTGTGACAGTGAGACCCAGGGCGGGGTTGACCCCAGGCTCGGGTCCCCTGGGTCACGCACCCAGGTCGGCCGCTGGGGCAAGGGAACAGGCAGAGCTCCCTGCTGGGAGACCCGGGGCCTGAGGGCGGCGGTCTGGGGGTGCCAGTGTGACACAGAAAGGGAACACAGCGAGGGGCGGGCATGGGAACAGGAAGAGGTGCTGGGTGGGCAGAGCCTGGAGAAAGCAAAGGGCTGGGCCTCCTGTCCTGCAGGGAGGGTCCCCACCCAGGGGCAGAGGGTCCCCGTCTGCTCGGGGAGCGCAGAGCTGGGGGCAGGACCCCGAGAACAGACCTGCTGGATCTCCTCGGGCAGCGCATGTCTGGGCAGGTGGCGCTCCATGGTGGTGTCTGGAGGGGCCTGTGGGAGAAGGTGAGAGTCGGACCACCCCACCGGAAACCTTCCACAGTCCCTCACCACGGCTTGCTTTGTTTCCGCAAAGCCCCAAACACCGAGAAGACTGTTTCCTCCCTAGACATAGGTGGGCAGGGCCTGACCCGACCCAGCGCCTCCTCTGGAACCCTCCAGAGCCGGAGTGGGGCGGGATGCGGGGAGGCTCCCGCCTAAGGAGGGGGCCCTGCGCAGGGCTGCAACCGAGGCTGGAGAGAGAGGCCCCCCCAATGCACACTGGCCAGTTGGGGCAGGACCCGGGGGGAGGCAGGGCGGCACTGGCCGGGGGGATTCCTTCCTGCAAATGGGGTGCTGGGGGCTAGAGGCAGTCTGGTGAAGACGTGGGGCGCCTGGAAGACCTCCCGGTGCCAGGGCAGGGCATTCCCACAGCCGTCTGCTCTGCTTCTGGTGCAAGGGGCAGCCCCACGTGGCAAAGGCCGGGACAGGGCTGGGCACAGGTACACCCCAATGCAGTCAGTGTGTGTTCTGGCTGAGGCGGGGGGCAGGGGAAGGGGGAGCGGGGAGGGGGCCAGGGGGGCTGGCAGCTCTGGGAGCCTCAGCTGCTGGCCTCACTTACAGCGCTGGTCACGCCAGCCACTGCACGGGCAGGGCGCCAGGGGTGGAAGCCGAGGCGGGCCAAGGGCCCTTTGTTTGCTGCAGTCCCTGCCCTGGGACTGTGGCAGGCGGGTCAGAGGGCAGAGTCAGAGGGTGGGCAGAGGGCGGTGAGTGCAGGGCCTCAACCCCCGGGGCAGCCTTTGTGCTGGCCAGGCTGCTGTGACCTGCCCCTCGCTGACCCGGCTCCCTGGGACTTTGGGCACGGCCAGGGCGAGCGCGCAGAAGTCGGGGGCACCCAGCATGTGTCGGGGTGCGATGGAGAGGGGGCCCTCACGGGAGGCGGGACGGGGGCGCAGGGGGCGGGGAGGGGGCAGGGGGGCACGGGGACAGGGGGCAGGAGGCAGCGACAGGGGGCAGGGGGACAGGGAGATGGGGCGCGGGGCGCAGGGGGCGGGGACAGGGCGCAGGGGACAGGGCGCAGGGAGCGGGGCGGGCGCGGGGGCGCGGGGGACGGCTCGCGGCCCGAGGCGGGGGCCGTCGAGGGCAGGCGGCTGCCCACCCCCCGGACACCCCGCTGCCGCCCGCCCGGAAGCGCCCCTCACCTGCACCCCGCTCCGCGACACCGGCGTCCGGTCTCCCGGGCGACCGAGCGCGTCGCTCTGACGTCCGCGCGCGCTGACGTCACGACCCCGCCGACGCGGAAGCGGGGGAACGGGGCGGGGGGCTCGGCTGCGGGGGTGCCCCCGGGCCGGGATCCGGGGGCCGTGCGGCTCGCGGGGAGGCGCCGCGGACCCCTGTGCCGCGCTTCGGCCCCGGTGTCGGGCGCGGGGGGAGGGGAGGGCGGCCCCCACGGGGGGTCTCCCCACGGGGGTCTCTGGGCCGCGCTCGCCTGCTGCGGCCCAGCTTAGACCCCCAAGCCTCGGAAGTGACCCCCAGGCATGGCTGGGCGCGGCCCTTGCACAAAGATAATCAGTAACATGATGACAGGCCGAGACCCCTGTGTGTGTGTGTGTGTGTGTGTGTGTCTGTGTCTGTGTCTGTGTCTGTGTCTGTGTCTTTAGTGTGTGTGTGAGGGTCTGTGAGTGCATGTGTGTGTCTGAGTGTGGATGTGAGCTGTGTCTTGAGTGTGTGCGTGTCTGTGGATGTGAGCTGTGTGAGTTTGCGTGTGTCTGTCTGTGTGTCTGTGTCTTTGAGTGTGTGTGTGTGTGTGTGTGTGTGTGTGTGTGTGTGAGGGTCTGTGAGCGCATGTGTGTGTCCGAGTGTGAATGTGAGCTGTGTCTGAGTTAGTGTGTGAGGGTCTGTGTGGATGTGAGCTGTGTGAGTTTGCGTGTGTGTCTATGTGTGAGTGTGAGCGTGCATGAGTGTGTGTCTGTCTCTGAGTTTGTGTGAGTGAGTTGTGGCTGAGTTTGAGTGTCTGTATGTGAGTGTGTGTATGAGCGTGTAGTTTCTCTGCCTTTCTTTGGGGCCTTGGCCCTTCCCGCCTCTGTCCAGGTTTGTCTCCTGGTCCTCTGGCCCTTCCTGCATCTCCCCCAGTTAATTAAGCTCGTTTTGGCCCCTTCTGTGACCCTGTCCTTTTCTTTGCTCCCTGGGGTCAGTGACCCCTAAAGAACAAGCAGCCGGCCTGTGGGAGCAGAGCTTCCGTTCATGGCCTGGACATGGGGCGTGGGGCCCCTGGGGCGGGTCTTTGCTCCCAGGAGACGGTCGGGCCTTTCTCTGGCGGGTGGATTCACCAGGAGGGAACCAGCTGGGCGCTGTCACTCGGCCATTCAGCGGGGCAGGCACTCTGGCCGCTGGCTGTTGCCAAGTCGGGCAGAATGGCTGCTTTGTGTGCGGCCGACAGAACCTCAGGAAGTCCCGAGGGTGGGTGCTGCGGGCTCAGACCCCTGCCCCATCCCCGGTGATGGGGAGCCAGGCTGGAAGTCTGAGTGGAGTCGCCTGGCCCCCGGTGTGTCCGACCCGAGTGCCTCCAAAGCTTGTCCAAGGCTCCTGCTTGCGGGGAACTCACCACCAGAGCCGCAGTGACTGGGAACCTCCCAAAGCCCCTGCCAGAAAAGAAAAGAATTACTACCACTACAACCAAAAAACTCAAATTCCTCTTTTGAGACTCTTGGTGTATATCTGGCCTCGAAGTTCTTAATAAGCATTCATGAATTCAAAGCCTGAAAACGGATGGCTGCCTTGTACATTTAAAAAATCAACTTCTGTACACGGTGTTTGCTTAAGCTGAGATCTTTCTAGAGGATTCTGGAAAATCCTCTGGAAAGATCTGGACAATGGAGGAGAGGAACTCACAGGTGTTTAGGGAAGGGATTGGCGAGGTGGTTTCAGTCTATCTCTCCTGAGATGAGGCCTATGTTCCCACACCCTTGTCACGGGGCGCTCACAGCCTGCAAACAGCTATTTCCCTCCCACTGTATAATATCTTTATTAACAGAAAACGGGGCTGTCATTAGATAAGGAGCTGTAAGTCATTTTAAAGATACTGGCTTACAACCTGTTGATAAAAACGCACGCACTGCCTGATTCAAGTGGGTGAAGAGAACGGAAGTAGGCAGAGGGGGGCAGGCTTGCAAGGGTGGAGGCACCCGACTCCACACAATGTTCCCAGGACACGCCCACAAAGTGACCATATCTATTATATTCAAATTCCTGAAAAGTTCCCCATGATAGTGGGGGGGCCACAGGGTCCCCCTTTCTTGAGTCAAGAGCACAGCCCGAACCCCCAGCCCCTCACCCCAACTTTCAGCCCAGTCTCCTGTCCTGTTTCCTGAGAATTGAAATCCGATTTTGCATTGCCCTGTGACCCAGTTCAGACCAGCAGGCTCCCAAGAAAGTTGGCTGGCATCTTCCAAAAAGGTTCGTCTCGTTGGCACGTTTCTTTGCGTTCCTCGCCTTGCTTAGCGTGTTCAGCAACCGGAAATACCACAAGGTGAAATAAATCCACTGATCCAACAAGACTGGGCAACCCTCAGAAATGTCGCTGGGATTCCTGGGTGCTGGCTGGCCCCCACAACGGTGCATGGATTTGCAATGGCCATGTGAATACTCTGTCCATTATTTCCTTGAAAGGTTACAAAGCCAACAGAAAAGCCTGTTTCCAGGAGGCAGGAAATGGGGCTGCTTGGGCGCTTCCGATCAGGATTCTGAGTTCTGGGGTCCCAGAAGCCAAAGGGCCCTCCCTCCGCCTGAAATCTGCCCCTTTCTAGAAGCTTCTCCCGTCCCCTGAGAAGCCGGACTTCTCCTGGATCCTGGGGCAGGAGTGCCCAGTGTGTGTCTCTCCAGCAATGGTGGGGCCCCAGGCCAGGAGGTTGCGTCCTGTGGCAACTTCCTTTCTGAGGGCAGCTTGGATGGGCAGTGGCTAAGGAGGCGGTGTAGGGCAGCCTCTGTGCACTCTGGGCACAGCCCCAGGTGCCCAGGGGACATCTGTGACCCGTGAAATGTCTCTGTGCTCGGTAGTCAGGGATGAGTGTGTGTGTGGAGGGGGGGGGGGGGGCTGACTCATGCCTCTAGCTCTGGGCCCCCAATAGAATGTGTCTGGGAGAGCCCCTCAGGGCTGCACCCTCCCAAAGGAGAGTGAGGCGAGCTGTGCAGCACAGTGCAGAGCCACCATCCCAGCTCTGGTCCCGAGACCACCCACAGAGCACCCCAGCCCTCATCCCCCCCCCCCAAGTGTGACTTGCCCCAGTGAGTCTGGCCCCTGTCTTGACCTCCAACCTGGGGTCTCTAAACATCTGCATCCCAGAAGCAGCTGGGCAGCTGAGGTGTCAGGGCCTCTGAGACCCCCTCCCGCCTCCCCAGGGCCCTGGAGTTGGCCTGCAGCTACCAGGGCAGAGGCCCTCCCCGCCTCTGGGTTAAGGGGAAAGGCTGAGGCCAGGGGGGCCTGGTAGTGATGGGGGGGGGGTGGAGAGGGGGTTACCACCGTCCCCACTTTCGGGAAGGCGGCAGTTGGCAATCGGGCCTTTATTGCATCCTGTCCCCGAGGGTTTATGACCGACAGTGCCACCACCTGCTGATAACAGAGACGCAGTGCCCTCGCCCTGGGCCGCGTTCACCCCCTGTCCCAGAGGCAGAGGTGGCTGCCCGGTGCAGACGGGAGCCCGCGGGGGAGGGGAGGACCCCAGGGCCGGCGGGTGGCGCCGCCGGGAGGTCGCGTGCGAGCGGCCCGGCGGGCGGGGCGGTGGCGTGCGCGCAGGCCCGGGCGGACACGCAGTGCGTGCGGCGGGCCCGGCCTCCCGGGCCGCCCGGCACCTGCGCCGCCGCCGTGGCACGACATGCGTGCGGACATGCGTGCGGACATGCGTGGGGCCGACGCGGTGCGTGCCAGCCGCCGGGGAGGGCAGGGTGGGGGCAGGGGCAGGGCGGCCCCGCCTCCGGGCTGCTGTTCCCCGCCCCTGTCC